AAGGTACAAGGTCGATGGTCAAAATCCCTGACTAGTACCGGAAGGAACGCAATATTTAGAGGGTAATCGATGAGCTAATTCCATAATAAGTTTAGTTATGCATGTTAAGTCCATGGTAGGCTCACACCCAAGTTATTCGAACTTTGACAATAATACTAGACTTTCCTAATTTTAAGTGGAAAAATTTGAGCAACCATGTTGTAGTGTGGATTTTATCCAAACTTCTTGTTGATCTTGCAAGCCCAAAAAGATTGTGTTATTAAGTTGGTTCGATAGGGGTAAACCACTTAAAATGTTCACCTTTGTTGTAAGAGATCTTTTAGTTGAATGTATAACAATGCATAAAGTTGTTGTGTTGTGTATATGATGATGGAAGAAACCTTCACTTGACCAAACAAGTGATACCAATTGAAGTCTCCTTCAAACTAAGATCGTGCTACACCTCCTTCAAGCCTCCTTCAAGAATTTAAACCAAAGTAATGGTTGAAGAACAAGGAGAATTATAGGTGCCACACTCCAATGAAGGAAGATTAGCCAAGATCACTCCTAGAGCTTTCACAAATTGGCGACAGGAATGAACCTAGTTCACTAGGCTCCCAAGGATTGCTAAGGGAGAAACTTGAGAGGAAATAATGCACTCAAATGTCATATATCTCAAAATTACCAAATATAAGGTCGAATGGATGTTTATATAGGCTATAGGTAGCTTGCTAAGTAAACTTAAGCCAACCATAGTTTAAAAGACTAAGTCGGTTTAACTTAACCATAGGCACCCAAAATTTTGAATTCAAACACTTCTTGCATTTGAATTGGCACACCAAGTTCAAATGAAGGATAAAAGTATTTTAAATCAAATTTAAGTACACCATGTGACCGGTCATCCATTAGGCGTGACTAATGAGCTTAGAGTTAGCTACAATAAGGTGTATAAGAAGATCCCAGGCAACCTTGCAAAGGCTGGATCCAATCAAGCACAATTAGTCATACTTAATGAAGTCCAATTCCATATATTGATGCACAAACATCTACCTAAAGACTAAGACATCCACACCGCTCAAAGACTATGACCTCACAACCCAAGGTCATGTCCTATAAAAGTCATACAACCTAAGGTACCCCACAATACAAAAGTAAAATAAAATAAACACTAAAATAAATTACAAGGAAACCTATACTAACCTATGCATGACTAGAAAATGAGCACTAGAGGGAGAAAAGTGAATACCAAATACTCAATGAGAGTAGGCCTATTAGGGTAGTCCCTCCTCCTTCTTCCTCAATCCTCCTAGCAATGGATCTTGTTAAGGGTCTCACTTGCATACTTAAGGGTGGTTCTCTATCATATGATATGTTGATAAGTTGTATAGTTGAGTTGAAAGTTGAGATATTATTGTGTTGTTTAAGTTCAAAACATTGATGAGTTGTATTGTGTGGTTCATATGTTGTGTTGACATGTTAAAAGTTGTTAATTAGAGTTGTTGTGTTGATTACGTAATTGTTGAGATGTTGATGTTGATAGTATAATTGTACTTTACTTCTGTACTTGTTGTGTTGTCTTATGTAAGTTTGCATTTTTCTTGTATTTGGATTACAATAATCATACTTGTTATAGGAGTAGGGTAGGAGTAGGCTAGAGGCTGAGAATTATTGAGAGTCATGCTAGAGAAAGGTTATGTTGATTATGCTACTTTTATATAGCTATTTTGTAGTAATTGCTTGACTGACAATCTAGGTTTATGTTTTCAGTCCAAAATTATTGTGTGTGAATATATATATATATATATATATATATATATATATATAATATTATATTATATATTTGTGTTTTTACATGTATATCTAGAGATTGTTTGCATGTTAACCTTAGGTAATTATATTTATGTTTTCTGCTGCTTAGTTGCTAAGTTGTAAAGTGTAAGACCCTGTCAATTCGTTACATAAACAAGTTCAAAATGATTCAAAAATTGGTGGACAATGATGTTATTACTCTTGCTTTTTTTACTTAGGCCTTTGATTTTTAAACCTTTTGAACTTCAAAGAGGGAGGTCAACTAATATTTTGTTGCAACCTCAAGAGTTTAAAATATTCACCAAAGTTTGAAATCAAATTGAATCACAAAAAATCCAAGGAAACAATGAATAATGAAAACTACAAGACATTTGAAAACCTAACTCTACTAGAAACATGTTGATGATCTAATAACATGTATGAACTAGAAAAGTATGAACTAAAAACACATCAAACAATTTCGGCCAACATAATATAACACGTAGTTTTCAAGATTCAAAGCCAAAAATGACTACTAAAAGTGTTGACATACTAGAACTACACATGTTTTTTAAGACATTATGCATTTACATATAGATTTCAAAATAAGAACTTATAACATTACACAAACTGTATTTCATACTTCAAACATCATTTCATACATCAAAATATAAAGGAAAACTCATAGAACAAGAATCCTAAGGTCATGCAAATATAATTGGTTCATAAAAACTAGAACTAATTTTTTTTAACCTAAATTTTCAAGACATTTTTTAGATTTATCATATAGCATACAAAATTTAGTTCTAAGCAATAAAAACTACACAAGACATGAAATAATACTTAGACAACACAAAATTAGGATAGAAAAAACCTCCATGGATGAACCTAAGATCATGATACCAAATATAATGAAACTATTGGAGGAGATATTTGTTGTTTCTTTTCTACTAGCTCTATTAAAGCTCTCAATCTTCATCCATGGAACTTAAACCTTCAAAGAGAGACCAAAAATGGTGGAGAGACAAGGAATGATGTGCGCCACTTCAAGGTGAATATGAGCAAGAGAGGAAGAACTCTCCACAATGAGGAATTTATTGATAAAAGTTCATGAGTAAATTCTGTTAAGAATGAACTAAGACTTTTGGGAGAAAAAATTAAAGATCAATTTTATTCACCAACAAAAGTGATGCATATGTACAAGGGAGGTCCTACATATAGAGTTTGGTAGCTTGTGGTGCAAGTTAAGCTAACCATGGTTACATGTAACCTAAGTTAGGTTAACTTGTATTAAAGACTACTAACTCTAGTTACAATTTGAATTTCAAATTTTTCTCTAAAAATGTCATTATCCTAGATCTAGAATAACTAATAGAAGTGTCACATGACAAGGCAAAAAAAGTGTGACTCATGTCAACATTCTAAATCTTAAAGAGCCAATGGAGGTTTGCCACGTGACAAGATGTCAAAAGTGTGACTAGACAAAACCATGTGACATGTTGGAAACTTGAATGGCCATGAAACACCTTATCCAACCAAGTGGATAGCCAACTACTTGGACCATGCACCTAAGGTGTTCATGGCCTATTCAAGCCCAATAAGTTCATAACTCAATTTCTAGTTACACCCCTTAAAATATTGTATACACCCCTAAAAATAAAAATTATAAGAAAATAAATTCCTACTCTATTTGACCTAAAAATATAAGGTTAAAATTAAGAAATATTTACAAAGAAGAGAAAGTAAACTACTAAAAGTGACCCGACGTTTAATAAGAACTTGGACTGTCTTTTTTCAAGTTTAGCCCACTCCTCTTGTTTTTTTTTTGTTTTTTATTTGGCCCCTTGGCATGATGTCATCAAATCCTTTATAAAAGATAATATCATTTGTGCAATGTTAAAAGAGACCAAATTATTAATGTAAGTACCAACAATTGAATGAGACTTGATCTCTTATATAATTTTAACTATCAAATTATATTCAAAATATCATGCGTGTTATGATTTAAAAAATATGCTAACTTTTAGAAACAATTTCATAGAGTGAACTAAGAAATTATTATTTTCAAAATTGAAGGACAATGAAAATTTTCATAAAGAAGACAAAATATTCGTCATAATTAAGAATTAAATATAGACACGTATATAATTGATAGAATATGAATTGACTCTTTTTTTTATTATCATTTTCTCACTTTAACTAATAACGTTATTTTAAGGGAGGTGAGCAGTTTTTAAAAACTAAAAAGAAGGTGTGTGACATTTAAATAGATCTTAGGAGAGATGAGTGTATTTTTCCCTAAATTATATTGTCTTTAGTATTGTACTAACATGTAACACTTCTATTTTTTCTCCCAAGATCTTAAATAAATGTTATTTATATATCTAAAAATAAATATTAAGACTAAAAATAGTAATTTTAGATTTTAGAAAGATAAAAATCGAATAAGAATATTTTACAAGCACCAAAAGTAAAATTACTTTATTTGAAAAGGACAAAAATGTTTTTTTTATAAAGATTAAAATCAAAACTTTTTCTTATAGGAACTTAGAAATATATTTAATTTTTTTTAATAGTTCAAGAAGTTTGTAAGTTAATCACGTTGATATGGGTTCAGTCATAGTGGTTAGAATATCATATTGTTTTCAATTTCATCAATTTATTTTAATTATTTTATTGTTGTCCTTGATTAGTAGTATATGGATCAATTGAAACAGATTACGGTCATTCAAGCATATCATGATTGATGCTTTTATCCTTGTCATTGTTGTTAATATTGAGTTTTTTTGTTCGTCCATGGAGTATCCATTACTGATTATCAACATTGAGTTTGACATGAATTCTTAATTTTAAAGAGCATGATCACAAAAAAAATTTTAATTAAGGAAAAATTTTATGTTTATAAATATTATTTTTCATAATTATCAACAGACTTCAATTTTTCAATTAAAATGAATTAAAAGTTGTGAGAAATCTATTGTAAAATAGCATTGAAATCCGTAGTTAATGAAAAAAGTACAAAATTACTATTTATAATGTAAATTCTTATGATTTTATTTTATTACAAAGATAAAAAAGACAAAAAAAGGAACAAAATAAAGTTGTTGCTTATGGAAGCAAATTTCCATCTCAGGCTTGTCTTCAAGAAGAAGCGAACAACTAGAGGTTGGACACCTTTAACACCCAACTTAGCTAAAAATTATGCATATTGATTCTTTTCAGAAGATGTATGATGAGTATTGGATAGAGAAACATTACTCTTTTCCCATAAATTCTCTTATGATGGTTATCTCATTTCCAAACATGTGATGTGTACTTTATCTGAGCCAAGTTGAATTGTATGCTTGGGATTAGAAAGACTATAGGGGAATTACAAAAGCATGATTAAATAATGGGTGAAAGTATAAAGTCCTGCATAGTAATGTAAACTAAAGATCATAGTGAATTAAAATTAAATGCTGAGATGTGGCAAACTGTGTGAGTTTCTGATTAAACTTGGTGAAAACACAACCAGGACATTGTGATGGTCATGTCTTTGATTAAGCAAGAGATCGCGGTCTAAACAGAATCATACATACATAGCTGTTCTGTTAGATACTAAAAGACAAAAGAAAGCACTAGTGTTCTGTGGTTGTGGAGTCAACGTCATAAACTCAGATCCAAAACCCAACGACAACGTCGTCTAATTAATTTCCTTCTTTTTGGACCGCAACTGCTGGATTTACACTACCTATTACCTTATGAGTCTGTAAGGACGAAGAGAACACCATGCCGAGTCCTTTTGCTAATCTCATAGTTCGGCTTGTCCCAGGTCAGTGAATGTTCTACTACACTTCACCCCACACTTAACTTTCCTTTCTTTTAATTCATCTTGTTCACGCATTCTTCTCATACGGTCTTGTGTGTAAAACCCTTTTACGCCTGCTTACAATTTAATCTCGCAAAGATACATGTTATTGGCACTGGCCATAATAGATGCGTGGATAAACTTTTCATATATGAATTGTGAACCATCAAAATAAGGATGTTGAGAATTCATAGTTTTCACTAGCATAATGGATCGAAATACTAAGCTTTTATCCATGCTTAAAATTGATGCCTTCAATCTTGAGAAGAACTTGCTATGAAGAGTAGAAATTTAGAAACTGTATTCTATCTTGTTCCTTTCTTATGGGTTTCTAAGTATTGGAAATATTGGGTCATACACATGTATATTGTTTTCATCAACAAACAATATCTCTTCATCAAACAATACCTCCTTTCATCATACTTTGTTGTTACGGTTTTCAGGTTTACTTATAATTCCTTGCTTGTAAAGTAGATGTTGGTGGTTTCTTTTAATAGGGTTATCCGGTCTCAATAGGTTGCGTTTTGTAAATTAATTGCAATTTCCAGCATGATTTTGAAGATAAAAAGGAAGAGAAAATGAGGATGAGGAACCTATACAGGAAACCAACTACTTTACGTTGCAATGCAGGGAGCAGATGCTATTCTACATCCACTGTAATATGGAGCTTTTTAGGATGCCTACTTTTGTTTCATCTATATTCCAATATTCAGCATAAACATGGGGAAGGTAGAGAGGTGCAATTGCTCTTGACTAATCATCCTCAATTCCGTGAACTCCAACAAGTTGAAGAGGAGATGATCCAACTTCCTCCACCCAAGGGGAAAAGGTCCCCTCGAGCCTCTAAACGCAAGCATAAGCGTGTAACCCCACTGGTTGATGAATTCTTGGATGAAGATTCACGATTGAGACATGTTTTCTTTCCTGGTAACAAGAGTGCTATTGATCCAATGAAGGTCACAGGGAATGATACTTATTACTACTACCCTGGGAGAATTTGGTTGGATACTGATGGAAATCCTATTCAAGCTCATGGAGGGGGTATTCTATATGATGAAAGATCACGCACATACTATTGGTATGGTGAATATAAAGATGGACCCACGTATCATTCTCACAAGAGAGGAGCTGCTCGAGTAAGTCATTTCAGTTGAAAATGTTTTAACCATAGTCAATAATTTGTCTTGAGGGCTATGCGCGTTTATTCAGTTTTTTTTTTTTTTTTCCAATTTCATTAAATAAAACTAACAGTTATCAATGACTAGCTTCTTTTTATGATGGTGCGAATTTCTTGTAGTTGCATGCTTTTGCTTATTAAAGAGAGAATAAAACAATAAGATTTTTTTAGTGAGGAAAAAGCTACTAGATTAAAGAACCACATTTGACCTTCATATATGCATTTTGATCCTTCTTTGCCCCAAGCTCCCTGTACAGACATGCATTTAATTGTTATTGTTTTTGTTTAAGAAAGGGCCTTATGCTGCCAGCCTATTTTAAATAAATTCAATACCTTGACATTCTTATTATCATCATTATTAATTGAAGTCTATGGCAGCAAGAGGAACTGAATTTTGATTTAGTTCTTGTCTCTTGAGATGCTAATGTTGGAACAATATTTCCACATTCTTGTTACTCCACAAAAAGCGGATATATAATAGCTAATGCAGTGCATGTTTGGATAATCATTGCGTCCATTCCAAAAGTATGTTCGAAAGATAGAAATACTGTAATGGAATGCACCATTTTCTGTTTCTTACTCTTCCACCGCCATAGAATCAACCTAATTGGTGTCAAAGTCAGTCAGACAAATCCTCCACCTCACAGTCACCATCAAATATGCCTTCCCTAGCAGCCCCATTTGGATTTCAAAATGTGAAAAACATCTAAACAGAATGTCCTTGGGGGATTTTAGTTGACTCACCAGTCACCACACTATGATAGAAGACTCTGTCAAGGCTTGTGTCACTGCAAGTTAAATTATATTTCGGAATTAGTTTTCTTCACATTTCTGCATCCGTAGGAGTATTACCATCATCTTCTGCAAGTTTCAAAACTAACATGGCTTAGCTTCCAATAAACCAGTCTTGCCAATCAAATCAATGATGCACCTTTTTTGAGAGAGGATACACTTCAACTTTGATTGACAAAGTTGGGCTACTGCATGATAAGTTAGTTCTTTCCCAAGATGAGAGACCTTTGGCCATGAGGCCCATGACTAAAATTTGCATTGCTTTTTTGCATAGCTTTTCTTCACTCATCTCGGGCTCACAATTCCTTTCATTATACATCACAGCTTATATGTCCCATCAAAGCTCAGAAATACACTGAATATAGGTTCTTTTCTTATAATTGAACAATAAGGTTTTACTGATAAGACATCTAAGTTTTCTGAAATGCCGATGATCTGTCAAAAACTTGTTTCTCCTATATTCTCCCTTCTACTGAACAATCCCTTTGAATTCTTGCACAAGTTCGAGAAGAATTTACATATAGCACTAAAATAAAAATAAAAAAGAAAAAAGGAAAAGATCTTGGCTCTTCTGACCTTCCACATGTCAATAGCAAGTTCATATAGGGAGTGACCTAGGGAATTTTTTGTTTCTTCATCAAAATAACTTGTGCAACCTTTTATTTTTATTCTATATATGGTAACACAAGTAAATTTGTTGCAGAATGTTTTGGCTCCGTGTCAACTGCCAATCATTCTTTTGCATTTTAATCTATGGTTTTGCCTTCTACCCCTATACTTCATGGACTTGAAACAAACTTGTTTCTCCAACATTAACACGCTCTTGATTACCAAAAGATTTGTAGATAACTGTTTTCAAGGCAGTCTTGTGATAGTAAAGGTTATAATCTCATTCTAGTAGCTTCCAAGGGAATTTTTATTTTCAACAAAGCATCTATATTTGCTTAGCCGCATACCCTTTTGACGAGACTCTAGCCTTTATCTCTCTCTCTCAACAGGTGGACATTATAGGAGTTGGTTGCTATTCTTCTAAGGACTTGTGGACCTGGAAACACGAAGGTATTGTATTGGCAGCAGAGGAAACAAATGGAACCCACGACCTGTACAAGTCTAATGTGCTTGAGAGGCCAAAAGTAATTTACAACGAGAAAACCAGAAAGTATGTGATGTGGATGCACATTGACGATGCCAATTATACAAAAGCTGCTGTTGGCATAGCAATTAGTGATGCACCTGATGGTCCATTCGAATATCTTGGTAGCCAAAGGCCCCACGGATATGAAAGCAGGGATATGACAGTTTTCAAAGATGAGGATGGTGTGGCATACCTTATCTACTCCTCTGAAGAAAACAATGTACTACACATTGGACCCCTGACCGAAGATTATCTGAACGTGGTTCCTGTCATGAGAAGAGTTTTCGTGGGACAGCGAAGGGAAGCACCAGCTGTGTTCAAGCACCAGGGTACATACTACATGATCACATCTGGCTGCACGGGATGGGCCCCGAATGAAGCACTGGCTCATGCTGCTGAGTCAATCCTGGGGCCTTGGGAGACAATGGGAAATCCATGTGTTGGAGGGAACAAAATGTTTCGAATTGCCACCTTTCTTGCTCAAAGCACTTTTGTGCTTCCCCTACCCGGCTTCCCGGGTTCGTTTATTTTCATGGCTGATAGATGGAATCCAGCTGACTTAAGAGACTCTAGATATGTTTGGTTGCCTTTGATAGTGGAAGGACCTGCTGATCAAGCTCTGGAGTACACTTCTGGACTCCCATTGTGGTCAAGAGTTTCTATCTTTTGGCATAAAAAATGGAGGCTACCTCAAGGGTGGAACACATTCAAGTAATTTGGTTTTTTCTTGTACATTCTATATTTGTTGAGAAACTTCGTGTACATTTGTGGTCACCAAAGAAGCACCGATTCTTCAGACTTTACGATACGAGAAATACTAATAACACACTTTTTTTAAATACATTCTCTACCATTTCTTGAAATTTATTACATACACACAACTTTGTGAATCCACTTCTTATATTCACATGATTTTATAGTTTTTTAATAAATTTTAGTCAATAATAAAGAGTTTGCTAGAATGTGTATTACTAACCCTTCTGTTGATAATATTTTAGATACTCTTAAGCTACATATTATAATTTTTCTTTTTTATTATGTCTACAATGACAGTTAACTTTTAGATTATCAATTTACTTGTCACATTCTGCAGTCATGTCCATGTGCTAAATAGTTTGGGCTATTGCTACGGTGTCTTTTTATAGGAGGAGGTTTGGGTGCACCTTATGTAAGGACCAATTATATATTGACATGTGAATTTTATAAACTAACTCATTGTGAACTGGTCAAGGGGTAATTTGACATTTTGACATATGATCAAGAGATAATTGGGTAATTTGCACCAAGACATTACTGTAAATAGAGGAGTATTCTAGGTTGTTGCGTGATGACGACAACCACAATACTCACACTATGTCATGACCTTAGGGTAAATGATCCTGATATGTGACTTCTGTATGTTGGGGTGACCAGCTATTCGTTGTACAGTTGCTTAAATTGAAATAGGCATCTGTGTCTATTTTGACAAAATTTGGTCGGTGAAATTCTTATCAAATCCTATATATTAAATGTGATCAATTATCTTTATTAGAACATTTTAAGGAATTATTTTTTCACATGAATATTTTTAAGAATTCTCTTAACTTATTTTTAATTTAATTTTTATTTATTATATTTATTTATTAATTTTTATTTTTAAAAATAAATCATCAATAATTTAAAATAATTTTGTATCACAATATAAATTATTTATTCAAAATATGAAATATAATATCAATGTTTAAAAATATATATTTATACAAATTTTAAATATAATTTATATATTTAATATATTATTTATTTATATACATAATTTATCATAAATTTTAATTATATATAATAAACATTTAGTCTATGAAATACACGGAATGAAATACTAGTTTAAGTAATTGTCAAATAACTCCTTTAGATTATGTTTATCCTAGGATTTCCCCCCTCAAAATTAGGATCAAATATATTTGGAGAAAAGAATTTACAAAACTAAGGAGTTTATTTATTTATTTTTTATAAAAGGAAAGAGGAGAAAAGTGTTTTTTTTTTTTTAAAAAATCATCGTGAATTAAAAAAATAAAGCAAATCTTTCAGTTTTAACAAAAGTTTTAAATTATAACTGTCAAATAGTTTTTACATTATATTTGAAGTTCTTATTTAAAATTTAAATTGAAGAAGCTTTTAAGCCATAGAAAAAGTTGACCTAGCTATAGCCTTACTATTTTATGTTTATTATGTGAGGAAGGGAGGGGGTGGAATCGATAGTCTTTTATTAACTATTTTCTTCTTAATTTGGTATTTTATCTCTTTTTTAAGTTGTAACTTCTTTGTATTCTATTAATTGTAGTGATTTCTAATACTCCAAAGTTATCCTTTTAACTTGCCACTAAAACTAATAACTTAATGAAAGGAACATGAGGCAACTAAAAAATGGTACTGTTGAGGATCAAATTGAAGAGGGGTGGTAATCTGAGCTTTTGAATAACACAAGGGATGAAAAGGGTAATCTGAGCTTTTGAATAACACAAGGGATGAAAAGGGTAATTTGACCTAAAAATATCAAATAAACTATTATTTTTTACTGATTTGCCCCATTAATAAACTATGGATTTTCCAAAAAGAAGTTTGAAACAGAGTTGTCTCATCAGCAATCCAGGGATCGGGTCGAGCTTTTATTTATTTTTTAAACGATTTGAGATACCAAGTCTTAAATACATTTTTGTTTTTATTTTGGTGCCAATTATGTTCTTTATTTTTTGAAGAGAAGCCAATTATGTTTTATTATTGGTGACCTGTTCTGCAAGCATATTATTGATTTACTTCTCTTGTCCAAAAGATATTTGGGCCAAGTTTTGTTAAACAAAGATATGCTGAGCTTATTTTAGGCAGGCCTCATTGTGGGCCTAGTTATGAGATAACTGACCCTAAATCTGTTGTGGGCTCTTCAACTGCAAAAAAAGCCATAGCTACCCCAAGATTCAAATGTGATCCAAAAACGAGTAGGATGTGTCACATCAATCTAATTTCAATTGCAAGTCTCAAATATCAATCTGAAAAATTTCAGGATTAGTTTTTTTTTCTTCCAATTTTATTTCTTATTCACTGTTCAGCTGTTCTATTATTGGATTAGCAATATAAAAGTATTCTATTATTGTCGGAAAGAAGAGCAAGGGATTTTGTTTCGAAATGGAAAACACAGACAGAGGGACAAAATCCTGAAGTACTATGAGTTGGAAATTAAACGCATAAGCTAGCTTTCTACTAGAACATGGTCCCATAAAAACATAAAAGGCGTACGCTGGTCGTTGTCAATTCTATAGAAAAGGAGACTAAAGCATAAAACATGTAGAAGGTATGGGCCAGCATGGAACTCTCTTTAAATAAACACTGAACAAAAGCAACTACAATTCTTTATAACTCAAAGGGGGAAAAGGTGCAAAAGGGGTGGATATATAGTTAATTTATGCTATAAGTTGGAGGGGGCAAGTTCCATCATCAGAAGCTTAAGACACACAAACCTAAAAAGAAGAACCCAATATTAATATTTCTTTTTTCAATGTTTATGTACTTACAATATTATAGATCATTTGCTTTCATGGGCAAAAGACATGCACCTCCTATATGAACCCTTGCCTTGAGGTTTATGTGGGGGGCATGAGAGGGTACGTAAAAGCTGAAACGCTTGTCAAATATAAAGATGATAAACTTTAGACTTTGAGATACATAGAGAGAATGGAAAAAGAAAAAGAAGACCATGCATCTGATCTCAGACGTAACGTGCTGCCCACTAAAACCCCTTAAAGCCACTAATCACTGTACGCCTTTTAATGGATTCCCCAAACTATAACCTACCTATCTCCTAAGATTCGGTGGCCCCCAAATCCCAATTCTTCATATTTTAATATACTCCTAATAATAATATCCTTCAAGATTATGTACTACTATATATCATAATGTTTCGTTATTCACACAACAAAAACCAAACTCAATCTTATTTTGGAGGCTTTTGTGAAAACAAAATTAACAAGGGCTTAAGACAAACCACTAAAAAAAATGATATTGAATGTTGTCAAAATATTATAGGGCATTGCCCAACTTAAATAGGTTTAACAGTTTGCTAAGGACACAACAACGATATGCACATCATATATCTTTGGTTAAATTGGGACCAGAACCACCTGTAAGGAAAGCGCTACGTGAACTAATTAAGTCAGTATGATTGAATCTATAAATTTAAGTTATATTCGAGTCTAAAATATTCTTACGTCAGAATGTTAGAGTTTTGCGATCTTTAAAAAAAAAATAGTAGTATTGTTTTCCCCTTTAAGCTTGCTAATATTTAGTTTAAAACATCAGAGTAAACAACGAAATTGGAAGAAGAACACATATATATATGGACGAATGTGGAATATGAACATTAATTACGTGCATGCAGTGACGCAACGTTAACTATTGAACGTTTCAGACAGTAAACATGAATAATTAATTTTCATGACACTTGATGGTACATATATATAATGAAACGAAAAGCATGTCAATCAATTACTTTATATATTATATATATAGTTCATACAAATATCGATCCAAAGCCACAAGCTATTGTTTGGCGATAAACAAAAAAATCAATCATAAAATGTAAACAAAAAAATAATTTACTTAGTTCCTTTTAAACACAAGCAAACGCCTATGAATCCCGGTGTCTTACCAAACTTATATAGTTAAGGAAGAGAACAAAAGAGGGAAATAAATAAATAAAGCCCAAAATATTAATCAATACTGAAAGAAAACTCGGAATATTAATGATCTTGGGCACGTGCCAAAAAAACCGAGAACACGTGCGAGACATTCACCCATGTCAAATGCATACGATTCCTTTGCTTCTGGAGCTTACGTCAAGGTTAGGGCCTCCATGCACTGGCCCACACCACCGGCGTGTCTTTCCACGAGAGGAATATTCCGGCGTCGGAGCACTGCGCCATCGACCACCCCTCCTTGTACCTCCGCAACAGCGCCCTCACGTCGTCGCAAACCTCCTCGCTGAACGCCACCGCGTTCAGCCCTCCGCCATGCAGACGCGCGCTCCACCGCGCCGCCGTCTCCCGCCGCTCCACGGACTCCGCCGGCGAACATGCCACGAGGTCCACCACCGCCCTCCCCGCGGCGCGCTCCAGCATCAGCCTCTCGTTGCTCGTCTTCACGAAGCTCTCGTCCAGAGCCTCGAAGTAAACCCTAAACCACCTGAAGCACTCTTCGAACCCTTTAACGAACTCGTAACCGTCGATTCCAACGTCCAAATCGGCTTCCTCCTCCACCACGGTTATAATTCTCGGCTGCAACGCTTGCAGCGAGGATATCAACGTGTCGCGGTTGTTCCCCGCCGCGGAAACCGAATGCAGCGCGTTCACGCAGTTCACGGCCAAGGCCTCGTCGTGTTTGATGTTGAGCTCGGAGAAATTGAGGTCAGAGAGATCGCCGGCGTGGTGGACGACGTTGAACTTAAACGGCACTCCCATGAGCCTGGCGAATTTCTCCATCCTAGCTCCGATTTCCTTCATGACGCGGTGGACGGAGTTGTTGGGTCTTCCCGAGACGACGGTGGTTAACCTAAGGTGCGGCGTTTCGTCGGTTCGCGTGGCGAGCGCTTCCAGAAGCGTTGGCCATTGCGTGCAATAGGTGTTGCTGATGTCGAGAATGTGCAATTTGGGGTTTCCCTCTAGGGCTTCGAGGATGGCGCCGTTGGACGCCACGTGTCCGAACGTTGTCCAGGGGCTTACTTCTTGGAACTTGAGCACCGTTTTTCTGGTGGATTCGAAGGAGCATGTTTTCTCCGACGCCGAGGCTAGGGTTCGGTAGGTTCGGTCGCCGTCGTCGGTGACGCGGCTGAAGAGGGCTTGGAGGAAATAGGCGACGAGCTTTTGGTCGGTGTCGCCGTAGGGGGAGCTGAGCTCATTGAGCATCCAGAGGAGGTGATGGAGGCGCGTGCGGTTGTTTTCGGCGACGGCGCGTGCGGTTTCCAATAAGAGGTTGTGAGACCAGTTGGGGGAGAATTCGAAGTTGAAGTCGGGTATAGGTGGGGTGGGGGAGAAGGAGTAGGAGTAATCAGTGGTGTTGCTGAAGGTGGTGGTGTTGGTGTTGGTGGTGTTTGTGGAAACGTGGGGTTGGTATTGGTAATAGTGTTTGGAGGAAGAGGAGGATAAGTCTTCATCATCCATGTAAAAGTTGAAGCATTCTTCGTCTTCTTGGTGGGAGTAGTGGTAGTAGTTTTGGCGGGAGGATCTAGAGCTGCTAGATGTTCTGCTGGTCGTGGAGTTCAGGGATGGATCCGGTTGTTGTTGTTGCTGCTGCTGATGGAAGCTTACGAGTCTAAACAAGGTATCCATTTAACACGCATCAATAAACAAATGTGACTCTCTTAGGTGCTTCTCAGCGCGACCAAACGTGTTTTTAACAGTGGAAATTGGGGCACTGTTGGGGAATGATTGGGGGAAGAACTTGGTCAATTTGGATAGATTCTACTTACCTTATTATCGCACTAGCCTAGTTTTTCTAAATATATAAAAAGAAAAAAAAACAGATAGTGGAGGTGAACAACCTTGTATAGAAACAAATTAATTAGATCAACTTATTGGTTAATTAATTATTTATGATATGTTTATTAAGTTGTTTTTTAAAAATATTTGAATTTTATGGTAGGGTGGTAGTAATATTTGAAGAGTATATAATTTGGATTCCTTTCCCTTTGGCTAGGTTATTGTTTTATTTATCTGATTAAAAATAAAAATGGGTGTGGAGGATTGACTGAGAGAAGTATGTTGGTCAATAGAATAGGTTGAAAAAATGTATTAGGGTGTTGGGTAGCTAGGTGATGCTTAGAATAGAATTCTGTCTGACAAAAGATGAAAAATAAGAAAGTGTGAGAAAAAGCAATGGAGGAAGAGATAGTGGGCTAGCTTTTGGTTCTTTTACAGAAAGAGAAAAATAAATTAAAGATTAAGAAAAAAAAATAGAGAGAGAGAGAGAGAGTTGAGGATGAGTGGGAGCAGGCGTGCCCAACTGCCAAATGGGGTTTGAGAGGAAGAGAGAGAGAGGTTGTAAAAGCTGCCGGCGTGAGTCATCATCATCAAACCCACTATCATCTCGTAGCAGTAGCACAACCCACTCACGTTCCCTGCTTCCTAATCACTCTCCAAACTCTGCCAAATTTCAAATCTACTTTTTTCTTTTCTATTATATTTGCCTTATAACAACGCAAATCAACAATTTCATACAAATTTGAGTTACACAATCGAGAATGCTAAAGCTCGTCTTTTGATCTATAGATATTTTTATTGAATCAATTTTTTGAAACATAAAATGTTACTACGTATCTTTTTAAATAATTAAAATAGTAACATGAAAAACTAGTAATAATTACTTAAAAACTAATTCACCAGCGTTTTGTGTCCAAGTGTCTTTCGGCCAATAGTTAGATTAATTTCTCAATATAAAATTTCATTTAAATAGCTTGTATCTCACAACAAATGTTAATGTATAATGAGTCAAAACTATAAGGATGAAAACCCTAATCATATGCTTAGGGCGAACATGTTGGTTTTTGAAACATTAATATTTCAATTAATAAACATTTTTAAATAATAATTGCGTGATATGATAATAACTCTGTATCAAACTGACACATTAATATTTTAGAGATTAAGATTTACTCTATCGAAAAATCATACATAACTGTGTTATGATAATGATAATGTTTAATTACAATACCAAGGTGTTCCTCTTCTCCAAATTCTAGGGTGGCGTGACATGCCTTGTTACTTTTTCTCCACTCCTATTGCATGCCGATGGTTTTATAAGTACTCACTGTTCACCTCCTCAATCCTCGGCTAGCACCAAAACTCAAGGATTAATTTCTTTGAATTTTGAATACCAAGGAAACTCATCATTGCTATCATCCCTCACCATACTCTCGAAATGTTTGTGGAGTATCCTACTTGGCCTCCAGCTGTTTTACTTATACCTATATCCCTAAAATCCAAAGCGCAATATTTCTCATAAACCATACACTGGTTCTACCAAAATCTATGCTTCATTTCTACTCGTGTAATTCAGTCTTCATCCCCAAAAAATTTGAATAATTTTTTCTCTGACCTAGATTATATCTTATCACAACCACAAATTGACGTCCCAATTCTTTAGGGGTTTAATTAGATTTTCTTAATCATGCATTTAGTTTATTGCTATTGATTATTGAGATTTGCAGATCATGGTTGGAAATGTTTAGTGTTTCTTTGTTTCCCTTCATCAATCATTGGGCAAGATCCATGTTTGAACCCTTTGTCCCCATGTATTGAAGTGGGCCTAGAAATTAAATCCATATTTTTATTTACTCATAAGTCATATTAATCCCAGACAGGATGAGACTTGTTATTACGGCCATACAGAAATTCATGGCCTTTCATCTTTCTTTTCCTGTTCTGCTTTTTTTCCTTCTTCTCTTTTCTTACTTCCCCTGTTTAATTTGTGGGGATGGTGGGTGAGATCGAGTGAAAGGGATCCATATTTTGCTTTGAAGTTCAGTTAAGAAGTAGTAAAAGTTCCCAACTAATTAGCACCCATCAGCTGAACTATATTTTATTGTACTTCAAGAATTTATCTTTCTTAGGTTCCAATTAATAAGTTAAAAGAAAAATAAGACATTGACGTTCACAATCACTTGGTGACTTTACTTTTCTTTTTCTTTGTTGAGGTGAGCCATGAGCCCCATCTCATTTTATTCAATATACAGTTGAAGTGTCAATACCTCAGCTCCTTACAATAATAGTACCGGGTTATTTTCATATGGGCCGTAGACCCAAATATACAAACAAGTTTATCTCACTAACAATAATACCAATCAATGTGATGTGCCATCTTAAAAGTCCTCACATGACACTAACATGGAACCTAACTCTAACTCCATAAACAAACAACTGATTCACTCATATTATGGTGAAGATGATGACACTAGTAAGTAGTAAAACTGTGAGCATGCCAAATATGGGCATGATAAATTGGTGTAGAAAACCATTATATTCCATTTTGGGTTGTAATTATAACACTAGCCAAAATTTAAATGTAACTAGGGTAGCTGACTTAAAGAGAAGGTTGCCGGAATCTAGTATTCACACGCCAGACAAGTGAACAGGAATGGAAGAGAAAAATTCTCTGAAGGCATAAATCGATTGGATTGGTAACGCCCCAGAAAGCGAGGAGCAGACTGCGGTTAAAAGATTTGCATACTGGTAAACTTTAATCTCTGCCATTGAAACAATAAAGTTTAAAGTTTTCTAACACTATTTGTGATTTTAAAGCCACTCCATCAATTATATTCAGAACCAAATTATGAAATTCTGACAAGCCAGCAACATAACATGATTGCAACCTGCGATCTCCTGTGGAGAGGGTCAGGGGATGGAGAACACACTTCGGACAAAATGATTCACGTAAAAGCAAGACATTCTCATTTTCTTTTTTATCACTAATAATACATCTACGTATTATACTCTCTTTTAATCACAAATAACTACTGTATATTTGTCCTTATTATTTTTATAATAATTTTCTTAAAAATAATACTGAGATTGATTTTTAATTAGTTAATGTTGTAAAAAAATTTACATTCACAATTATCAAATTCTTTATTTTTTTATAATATATAAGTTTTTCGTTATCAAATATCTTTTGTTCACTAAACTTTTAGAGACTCTATAATATGTCTTAATTAAGTACCCTTAGTTTTTTTATTTTATCAATTATATATTGTGCAGATCGATCTTGACATAAAAAGAAGAAAAGGTACCAAAGAAAATTACTGTTTGTCATATTTTTCAATGCTAAAAGAAACCTAGAACCCTTTTCTTTACATTATGGTACAGGATTGGGTTCCTACATTGAAAATAATGTTTAAATTGATGATTCTCTTCCCTTTTAATTCATCCCTACCAGCAGTAGTATTGTACGAGAGTCAACATTAGCATATTCCGCTTTGGGCATTCCCAGTTTTCAAGTACTTGTCACCACCATCCATGCACAGATTCAGACGTTCCAACACAGTATTACAATACTATGAACCAACCCTATCCTCACTGGTAAACCAAGTTCACTGGACTAATAAAAAAATATTATACAAGAACAGCAGATAAATCTCAAAAATCATCATCTATTCCACTGTCAAGCATCGTTCTTCTCTTCATCTACGACACCAATAATGCAAGTGATGTGTATGACGCATATTCGTGGTCGTGGGTCTTTATCAAAGTTGTTAATATAAATTAATAAGTTGATATTTGTATTTCAAATTTAGGGTCGAGATTATATATATAATTTATTTTTATTCATTTTTAGAATTGGTTTCTTAAAATATTAAAAAAAATCTTATTTACATTTTAATGTCTTAAGAAATATTAAAACAATTGACTATTTGATGAATTAAAAAGACCCTGTGTATCTAAAGTTAATAATATAATTTTAACAATTGATTTTTGTGTAACAAAAATAAGAAAAATCGTTGTCAATTTATATACCTATATTATTAAAAGGTCTTTTACTAAGGATTTTATTTTTTAAAAATTATGACATAATTTTTTAGATGTAATTAGTATTATTTTCTAATCAAAATTAAATATTTATCTTGATAATATACATAAATATATATATATATATATATATATATATAAATATTAATAAAATTTATATTAAATATAAATATATATTACTAAAATAAATATTTAATTATAATTAAAAGATAACATCAACCTTATTTGAAAAAATATATTTAAATTTTCTCATTTTATATACTCTTATCCTGAATAACCTTACCATCAAAACTAAATAACTAGATGGTCTGGTAAGTAACGACATACAATAATGATGCTAAGGGAAAATAATACTACAACATAGAAGAAAAATAATATTTGGTTAGTATCATTTTTGGGGAAAAATTGGTGTTTATCAACATTAACAAAGAGAACTCTAGCGTTTCTTACATATTAATGTTCGTGAAAAGGTGTCAGACGTGTTACTATTGTTGGTTGCTAGATTCTGCAAACAATCCAAAAACCAGTGAGAGAGAGTAAAAATTAGGTAGGTCCTATTTAGAAGAATTTATGAATATGAAAGTGTTTGAAAAAATTTATAAAATATTTTATGAGTAATTTATAATATGTTTTGATTTTATTTTGATAAATTGTACATTATAATCTATTATTTAAGTTATGTAGAAACTTGTTGGATAATACTCAAGTTTTGAATTGGATAATAATCTTTTAAGACTGTTATATATAAATCAAGAAACACAATAATTTTTTTTCATACAATAATTTTAATATTTTTTATTATGCTCTCATTCATTTTTGTTGAATAATATATGCTTGTTAATTATAACTACAAATCAATTTAAAGTGACGTTAGATGTATGGGTATAATTAATAAATTAAACAACAATTAATGTAATTTCAAATGTGAAAAATG